AAATAAGTTTCAGGAAGTACATGTACTTAGACTCGAATTGGTGCAAATTAAATAGCATTCATACAAATCAGGAATGGAGTTGGCATTTATAGAACATATTTTAGAAAAGAACAAATGTTTAAAATTAATTGTGGTGGTAGGAATTTTCACACTATTTTTTATACCCCCCCGCAAACGAAGTTTGGGGGGGGGGTATATAGGAATCACCTTGTCCGTCTGTCTGTCTGTCTATGTCTTTCTTATGGATAAATTTGGTAGGTTCTCATTTCACACACAGATTGTCCATGACCTAAGAGTGTGTCTTGACCTTGACCCAAGGTCATTTGGGGAAGTTCAAGGTCACTGAAAGAAAAATTTCATAATTTGTGTCCGGTCCGTATCTTTCTTATGGATAAATTTGGTAGGTTCTCATTTCACACAAAGATTGCCCATGACCCAAGGGTGTGTCATGACCTTGACCCAAGGTAATTTTGGGAAGTTCAATGTCACTGGAAGAAAAATTTCATAATTCGTGTCCAGTCCACATCTTTTTTATGGATAAACTTGATAGGTTCTCATTTCACGCAAAGATTGCCCATGACCCAAGGGTGTGTCATGACCTTGACCCAAGATCATTTGGGGAAGTTCAAGGACACTGGAAGAAAAATTTCAAAATCCGTGTCGGGTCCACATCTTTCTTATGGATAAACTTGATAGGTTCTCATTTCACGCAAAGATTGCCCATGACCCAAGGGTGTGTCATGACCTTGACCCAAGGTCATTTGGGGAAGTTCAATGTCACTGGAAGAAAAATTTCATAATTCATATGTGATACATATCTTCATTATGGAAAAACTTACTTCTGAAAAACCCAGCGGGGGGTATTTTGTCCCGTTTGGACAGTTCTAGTTCTATTTGCAAAACATTTCGCTTTATTACGAAGATGTTCCATATTTTGCGAACAGTTAAACTAGTCCACATACAAATTATAAAATAGCAGATCTACGAGGGCCATTCAAAAATTACGCGGACTGTGCTATTATTTACTCTTACAGACGTCATAGAGTTATGAAATTTCACAGAAATATGTATCTCAAAGATTCCAATAAATTTTGGGCAAAATTTCTGTATTTTAAAAAAATTCTACTAAAGCTATCGGTATATTAATATCGCTGATGGAGAGGTACGGAGCACGACAAAAAATTTGAAGCAAAAGCATGCGGAATCCAAAATGTAACTCATTTATTTTCTATAATTCGCAATATTTTTCGACAGTTTTCTCAAATGTATCTTTAAATTGTTCTAATATTATGTATTTGGATTTCTGACGTGATATTTGAAGTACTAACAGAAATACAGTGATTTTCATCTGATGCGATTCCCGTGAAAACGACTGAAAATGACGTCTCGTGAATTGACGGCGCACCACACTTTAGTTAAATTATGTGTTATGCTCGAGATATCGCCAACATAGATCCAAAATATGCATAATAAAACATGTAGTAAACTAGGGTATTCGAGACATTCGTCCACAAATAGCAAATAGGAATTTTAGACCGTTAGACCTTTGTAATTATAAAATGGCTATACGGGAGGACGGGAAGGAGATTATTGACGAAAACTTTCTCCGGACTGTAAAGAACGTGATTGAGACTCACCAATATCACACTATATCTCATAAATACCTGCAGTTTTTGGTTAAAAAAAAGAATATTCTTTACTTGTCTAATAGATTTAAAGCTTCACAAGAAATGGTGTTTGGATGTTGAGTAGATAAGATAACTCAAACTGTACAGGTACTCCTGGTAAAATGTCGAGAAAATGAAAGCTCAGTCACATATTTTTTTATAATGTCTGTGACGTCGAAGATTTTGCTGCTCCATGACTTAATGATATGTCCTGAAAAATCACTCAAAATTGATACCAATTTACAATATTGTGATATGAAACTTTGTAGACCATATAAGTAAAGATTCTTTTATATTATGTGCAACATTTTGCCCGATTATGTCGTCAAATATTTTGTCTTTGCAGCAAGTCCGCGTAATTTTTGAACGGCCCTCGTACAATGGCCATTGTTGACCATTATAACCATGTTAGGGCACATGATAATAGTTATTGTAAGGACAATTTTTATGCCCCCATTCGAAGAAGGGAGGGCATATTGCTTTGCTGCTGTATGTCGGTCTGTCGGTCCATTTAGTTTCCGTTCATTTTCTTCACAACCGTTGCACATACTGAAATGAAATTTGGTATACAGGTTTATCAGGTGAATATCTAGGTCAAGTTCTGTTTTGAATATGATCGCACCATTTTTGACAGAGTTATGCCCCTTGGACTTAACAAATTCCACTTATTTGCAGTTTCCGTTCATTTTCTTTTCAGAGGTTGCACATATTGAAATGAAATTTAGCATACAGATTTTTCAGCTGAATATCTAGGTCAAGTTCTGTTTTGGGTATGATCGCACCCTTTTTCTTAGAGTTATGCCCCTTGGACTAAGAAAAAGTCCACTTATTTGCATTTTCCGTTTATTTTCTTTTCAGAGGTTGCACATATTGAAATGAAATTTAGCATACAGGTTTTTCAGCTGAATTCCTACATCAAGTTTTGTTTTGGGTACGATCGCATCCTTTTTGTCAGAGTTATGCCCCTTGGACTTGGAAAAATTCCACTTATATGCCGTTTCCGTTCATTTTCTTTTCAGAGGTTGCACATATTGAAATGAAATTTAGTATACAGATTTTTCAGCTGAATATCTAGGTCAAGTTTTGTTTTGGGTAGGATTGCACCATTTTAGACAGAGTTATGCCCTTTTGGACTTAGAAAAAAAATCCAATTTGGGGGGAGGCGGGCATAAGTGTTTTACAAACATCTCTTGTTACTTAGGTAGTGATATAGGGGATCAGCTGTTGAGTGTGTTACTTGGTACAAGTATGTTCATTGGTGGACTTACAGGTTTTATCCTAGACAATACGGTTCCAGGTAAGGATTTTCGTTTCATATATTTTCTTCATTAAAATTGTGCCGAGAAACACCCCTCAATTCAACTGAATTTAAAAATTATTTCTATTTGAGTAAATAACTCAACAACAAAAAACTTTTAAACACAGGCACTTTGGAGGAACGTGGAATCAGAAAATGGCGAGAAATAGACGAAACTTGGAAAAACAGGGAAACGGACAATATCTCGATTTATGACCTACCTTTTGTCCAAAAATATCTTAACAGACTGCAGATTACACAGTTTTTACCATTCTGTGCAAATTTTCAACCTTTCTGTAGAAAAGACGAGAAAAAGTACATACAAGCAGAGAAAGCAGTATATGAAAAGGAAGTGGAAGTGACTGACACCAAGTTTTAATGCATATAATTTGGAGAATTTGAATATCACTTTATGTATCACTTTATGTCATAGTTATTTTCTTTCAATTTTTCCTCTTTCAATTTTAGGTCACCTTAGTTATTTATCACAAATTTTCTGTTTTTTTCTAATAACTTTTTTTATGGTTGCCCAATCAAGTTTAAATTTGGTATGGTAGTTTAATAGGCAGAAATACAATTTTGATGCTTAGTTTGATTCTCTATGTCTTCTAGTTTGGAGCTGGGGTGGTTGACACTACATAAGAATCTTTAAGATCAAATTTGGGGTAAGTAGGCAAAAATACAGAATTTTGATGCTAAGTTTGGTTCCTATGTCCCTTGGTTTAGAGCTGGGGTGTTAAGGCCATTAAAATTATATGAATGCTTTAAAGAGAGATAACTTTTAAATTTCCCATTCAGTAAACTGAATCTTTTGTGATTGCAATGAGATTAATTAGCTTTCCTCACCAAAATCCAGAAATCTTTATCTGTCACATTGAGATTAATTACCACCTCTGTCTGCAAATGAAGTTTGTTTTGAAGTTGAATCAATTTGGAATGCTATGAACACTCTGAAATGTGGATTTAAATATAAATTTTTATTATTTATTTTTGTTTGATAGTTATGATTTCATTGAATCCTAAAAAAAAGAAATAGATTAAAGAAAATTTTTTGATTTACCAGGGTACTTTTTTTTCACTTTTTCCTTTTTTTTTGAATATAAAGCTAAAATGTTTTTAATTTTTAAAGTTGTATAAAAACCCTTTTCTATCATTAATACTGAAAAAGTTCTTATTGTAACTTTAGAAGAAAATGATGTGAATTAATCCCATGGGATTAATTATCTAGCCTGCTGCAGAAAATTTAGTAGGCTTCTCTTGAATCTTACTTTAAGATTAATGAAAATTCTGCAACTTTTTGTTTGAAGTTATCAAGCATCTTTCATGATATTTGCATTCATTGAAAAGGCTGGCATTTTATATAACACAAGATTCATAATTGTTTAAATATAAATTCAATGTTAAGTTGTTCTTTACTTCTAATAAAAATACAAGAATATTATTTTCAGGTTTTTGTTATTCTTTTTATGTTATTCAATTATATAGAATACAGTTGCTGTTGCTTTTTCAATTTTTTTACATTTATTAATCATTCTGTAAGCTGCACCCTTTTTATTCTACCCCATGGCGGGGCCCTTGCTGACTGGTCAGTTTTCTAGTTTTCTTTCAATTTTTCCTCTTTCAATTTTAGGTCACCTTAGTTATTTATCAATGTGTCACATTGTTACTAGCATCTGTTTCGTCCGGTAACATTGAAGTATTTTCAGATTCCTCATGAGAAGTACTGAACCATCTTCGTCTTACTTTGACATATATAATCTTTAAGTAAAGCCTAAAAGGGGAACAAAAGTAAGAATTGCACGTTAACTGTCCCCATCCCTTCCTTGCCTGAGGATGTTAAGGCCATTAAAATAATGCAATCTCTAAAATTTCCCGTTTACTTCTCGATATTAAGCTAATTAACTCTTGTTATGATTGCAAAAAGGCTTAATTGAGTCTTCTGCCAAACTTTTTCAAAATAATGACTCGGTGAAAAAAGCTCCTGGGTGAAATGCGTAAGTTTTTGAAAATAAATCCTTTCCTGTCTGCCAGAATATTTGAAAGCTAAGCTAGCTGCATGGTTATAATCAGCAAAGGTGCCTTTTTCAAAATTGGTCCCTGGGGTTCTTGTTGGAGAGGGGGAATTATTTTGAATATAAAGCGAAATTGCATTTATCTATGTCTTTGAAAATCTTCTTTGCTTTAGGATATTAGGTAAACAAACGTTGCCTCATCCCAAAATTGTGAATTTCATGTCAGGGATTCTGGTGTAAGGATATGGTTGTGATTAATGTAAAGTAAAATGCGCGCATTCTGAAATTTTTCTCCTTTCTCTTTGGGGATACAGTGTGCAAATATGAAATAAGTATGGGTATATTTACCAGATTATTTTAAATTTTGGACTACTTAGTAAAGGGTCCGGGTGCTGGTGCTTTATTAATTTGCATTCTACTGAAAGAAATTCTTTTTGCTATTCACGTATAAAGGTTCTCAATAGTCGTCAAGCAAACTTTTTTGGTTTACATGGTGAAAGTGACAAATCGGTGCAAATAAAGATTTTTTTTAAAGTTTTGTTATGGAGTACTAATTATAATGCGATCCCCTCATCTTTTTTCTTGCTTTTGGCAACATAGTACGTTTTCCTGCTTCATCTCTCACAATATTTTCGTTTTATTTTATACCTCTATGAATCCTCTGCATTGTTATGTTATATTCAGGTGATTATTATGGCCATAGGCTACTTGTTTTGTATTTTAATGGAATATCTTGAATTGACTATATATGTAAATACTGCATTTTCAAATACCAGCAGAACCATGTGTACGGTTTATTTGAAATTGAAAAATAAAATTTGAAAAATAAAACCCAGGTTCAAGGTGTGAATGCTTATTCATACATTTCTGCCGATCTTTGAAGAACAAAATATATATATATATTTTTTAAATGTTCATTAATGTGTATATTTTTTTTTCATTATTCTATTTTGTATTAAATAATCATAAAAATCAAGAAATCCATTTGATTTGGATGTTTACGATTTTTAGTTTTATGCCATGTGTTTTTATGTAACCAATAGTTTTGTAGAACTGTTTTCAGTACAAATACAGTGTATACTTTATATACTGAGTACTAGGCTACAAGTAATTGTTATATCCATATAGAAGCTTAAATGCTGATTACATTTGCTCAGCTTTTAAACATACATTATATTCTTAAAACTAGCTGTTGACAGTGTTCTTGTATTTGCTTGTCTTTATTGTTAGTCCATTTTATAGTGAATATTTCATCGTTTTCATTTTTTTTGCAAAAACATACACTAGTATAACTGTACATTAGAATGCAGAGTATTAAGAACAAATAATTTTATCAATAAACCCAGCAATTTTTTTTCAAAAATCGTTTTTTTTTTCTTCAAAAGAAGACTGCAACATAAGTCCTGAGCGCCGATGTGTAAACATCATAAATTATCGGCCACCGTGCAGAAAAATTATAACTTGGACCAATGACACAAAATTTCGACGTTAACATTCGAATGTTAAAAGATCTGTTCTTCAAAAACCGAGGTAGCAACAGGAGTTTTTTAAATGGACTGGGGTTTAAAACAGGAAAGAACGTAAACCATGGGAATGTAGAACACATAGATTGCTCATTGATTACATGTAGCCTACAGGAGGAACAAACAAATCTTAAAGTTACAAACAAAATTTCAGTCGTAACAAAGTTATCTAAACAACTTGAATTATCTAGCATTGTGCATCCTTAGGTGCAACACTTATGCAAGATTAGTCCTGGTAGTGTTTGCGGTTATTTTAGCATTTACTTGATCTAAAAAATTACAGCCTTGTCAATCATCTTAAAAAAATGCAGATCAGATCTAGCATCATAAGCAAGCCTGACAAGGTGCTTCGTGTCTTGTGTAACAAACAGTACACATGCTGTTGCTATAGGTACACATACATGGGATGTAAATGGCAAACAGAGAATGCTGGCAGAATTAAACTTGGTCACATGAATACAAATTCTGATTAATAAAAATTGAAGGTCATCAGTTTGGGCAGACAAAACCATGTGTAGTTTGTCTACACACATGCCATCTATGCATTGTTAGATTTTATACTAAACACACAGAATATTCTTTTTTTTTAGGAAACTATATAATGATTAACGAACAATTAACATGATTTTACTACAGTTGTTGATTAGTATAATCAATTCCAGAAAAAACATCAAAGTGAAACAATTCTGTTATCAAACATGTTTTTAAAAAAAGAAGTCATCTTTTTGCAAATTTTCTAGTCGATAAAATGCTCTTGTCAGCAAATACAACCTATCATCAAGTCAAATACTGACTGGTATTTTTTTTCATACTAACTGTTATACCATGTACACTGAATCGCTTCAGAATTTTCCTTTTTCCCCAATCATCACAAGCAAGCCTGACACATGAAGCATCATTATAATGCACGTTTGTCAGACAGGCCGGGGATGCCTACTTCCAAAGGAACTTGATATCAACTCTTGATTTTTTTGGAGATCGGTGTTTGCTCTGCCCCCAACCTGTATTGTTTAAATGGACTTTCCAGAAATGTACGTCAAACAACAATCTCGTCAGAAATCATTTCGCAAATTTTCTAGTCGATGAAATGCTATAGTCAGCAAATACAACAAGTCAAATGTAGTGTACATCCATGTTTTACATAATGCATCACATCCGTGCAATTTAATCATGAGGGAATACACGGCATTTGCAACTGTAGTGGAATATAATTACTTGAAAACCGTTTTGCTCTCCTCTAGAAAAGTTATGTTAAATCCATCAAAAACAAGTCTGATATTGTGCATCCTTTGATGACGATTTTACCCCTACTTTGGACTTTTTTTTCTCGGCGCTACGTAATGGTGAATACAATTTCTTTGGTTACGATATACCAGAACATAAAACCTTTCACCTGGTCACTTCTCAAGAAATTTAGGCCAGACCAGCATCCGAAACAAATCGTCTACTTTGCATTCCTAGAAGTATAATCTATCAAGTTACATTCTAACCTCAACGAATGTTGTAGTTAAGACTCGCACAAATGATCGAGATTATAGTATTATGCATCCCTATCTAAAACATTTATGCAATTTCTGTCGGATAGTGTTTGCAGTTACTTGGAATGAATGTTTTCTTATTTTAAACCACTTCTTTTCCAGAAAAAATAAATCGATTTCACATAGTATCATATAAAATTTGATTGTTCATCGCTTTACGCAAGTCTGGTTAAGAGAGGGTTTATGTTATACTGAAATGAGTCTGCTCCAAAAACTTGAACCTGGTCAACCATTCGGAAAATGTATCTCAACTCTAGCATCTGGAGCAATTTTTAAATGGTATCATCCACGAAAGATTGGTTCAAAGAGGCCTTTTGGTTTCTTGCAATTGGTAATGGACCTGTTCCAAAAACTATTTAAAGTGATCAACTATTTGAGAAATATAGGTCCTGCAACCGAAACAACTTTGGTAGCGTGCATCAAATACCCCGGTAATGCATCTCTGGGACAATGCAAGGTTGATTAGCAGCTTACGGTTTAAAATTACATTAAAATGAACCTGCTAAAAATAAGCTCCCAAAGGTACTTGAAACGAAATATGCTACACAGATTCCAAGCAAGAGTTTAAGTGGTAAGTTTTTCTTCTAATGGAAAAGTTTCAAGCATGTAAAGGAGCACGACAATGAGGTTCATTGAAATGTTTGAATTTTCTAGTTCGAATGGAACGTTTATGTACAAAATGACCAAATGCTCAAGATAAAAAAAAAGGGACACACTTTTTAGACTAGAAGATTTGACAATACATGTATACACACTGTCGCTTTGTCTGATTAGGTTTTGTATTTAGAGACTACCTTTTCAACAAGCTAGTATTTGAATTAAATATTTGTTTGCCTTTCCTTTCCAACGAAATAGGCGTGTCATTTTTAACAATCAACTCTCTTTAGAAAGTTAAAAAAGTTCCATTCAAACGGGAATTTTCAAAAAAAAAAATTAAAATGTTTCGTTTGAATTGAACCTTTTGAGCTTACTTTTATATGTCAGAGGTTCCATATTGACACGCCCATTTCTTTTCAGAGAAGAAAAAGCAGTCAAACGTTTTATGTTTCATATGAATACCTGTAGAAGAGGTATATTCCATTAATACAATCAATAAGCCAATACGGTTATGTACATTTGGCTGTCAAAATAATTGAATACGGATAAACAGGAACTTGATCAATATAAATGTTATAACATCAAATGCGTTGTAATATTCATTGAGTTTTACAAAAGTGAAGGGGGGGGGGTCTTTTTTACCTTTCTCCGAGCATCATTAAATTTCCATCTTAACAAAACTCGTGTTGCTAGTCCCAGAGTGTTGTTTAAAGACATTGCGACGGATGTACTTTTCTAGTTTCTAGAGAAATTGACGTGTCATAGTGGTAGTGCCTTTGCTTCGTGATAGGGAAACTCGTATTTTTGATTCTTGTTTGCAAATTGCATCAAATCTAAGACGTATAAATCATAGTTCGTAACTATTCGTCATAAGAAGTGAAAGTCGCGCGTCTTGTGGATGAGCTAGTCCTAACAAAAATGTACATGTATTATAATTAATTATAGTTAATACTTTGGTACTTTGAATTACCGTGAAACTTTAACTTTGGAACTCTGTATTTTAATTAAAAGCCCTACTTGCCTAAAGTGTATAATATCTTTTGGGGGAAAAAATGTGCTATTTTCTTTTTCAATAGTAATTTTAACAGAATGAAATATAACGATCTGAAATTCATAGTAAAAATTCTTTGATAAACTATAGAAAAAAATAAAGTGAGCACTTTGATACCATATGTAGTAAAATATGGTGAACTATAGTTTCTAAATTTATTAATTGATTAAATTTTAAATAGTTTTTTTATTTCATTCATTTGTAAAGTTGGACAGAACTGGACGCTCTTTAGGAAAGGGATATGTTTCTTTACCTCTCCTACCTTTTTATAAACCCAAACATTTAATCAGAAATGCTGCAAAGCATACTTTCTTTTACATTGCCCAAATAAATAATTGTTCTATAAAAATCGGTAAGATGTTAATGTGTTCTTTTTCAGAGGTAAAATATATTAAACAAACAGCAATCAATAAGTATACAAAACGAAACATATGGAATCATGGACAAGCAAGATGTTAAGATGGGTTATTATTACTCCGCTCCTTTATTTTACATTTCAGACTTGATAAAATATATCTTCCAAAAAAAGTTCATCTACCTTTTGTTACGATTCTAATTCACGCTCTTTTTTCAAACTGTCATTCCAAAAATCAGTAATTTTGCATGCAAATTCTTTCAAGTACATGCCTCTTGAATTTAACGAATAACTATTACTCCGTTATGTTATGCTGCTCAATATCTAGCATACTAAAGCCTTGTAAAACCTTAGGGAAGTTATTAGCTTCTCAACTCTTCAAACTTTCTTTACTTACTGTAATTTAAAAGGATTTTTATGAAAGAAAGGAACTTAACAGTACAAGTATTGCAATACTTTTATCTGCCCGTTTTTGAAAGATCATCAAATTTTTTTACGAACTAATATATAATACGTAAAATAAAAGTATACCACAAACTACATTGATATTTTCCTCATCGGTTTTATTCATAAATACAAACACAACATTGTGGAGTTTTTCATGTTTGAATGATAGTGTAAATACACAGACTTTTTATCCAATGATAAAACAAAAGCTTTATAATTTTTATAATATCACGTATGTCATGATATACTGTAAAGAAACTGAGATTTGGTGCATGATTGGGTTTTTTTCATCAAGGGTGATATATTGCTGCACAAATCATTGGAATAACATAATAATTTTTTGATGGAAAAACTCGATATTTTAATATCACAGACACACCATAGACAGATTAAGCACACGATGACAAGGGGCAAACAGGATGCATTAAAATAACGTATTTTAAAAAAAAAATAAAACTTAAATCTTAAGTCTTATGTGACCGACTTGCACTTAAATTACGTCAGTTAGCAAACGGTCAATATTACTCATGATTAAAATTTACGCATGCAATTTTAAAACAAAAGGTTATAAAACTCGAAAGTATATCAAAGGAAATTGTCTATCAAAAATTATGTTTTGTACAAATCAAAATTTATATCAAACCTAACGCATGCAATTTTTCTACTGGCAAGCAGACAGATTAATACTTTATTAACAAACTGGTCAACTTCAAGATCGCAGTTTCAAGAATCTGATGATTAAAATGAAAGTTGAAGAGTCTAGAAGTGAACTTAATTAACTGCAGATTCATAGACACCGTGTCCGAGTTTCCCTTTCCTGGAGATTTGATCTGACTCGAAATTATTGTATGCTAGTTCCCTGGCTTTTGGAGAACGGAATGTTTCCAATGAAGGACGGGCAGCATTCTGTAAATTAAGAAAAATAAACAGTTAAACAGTATGGTTTTTTAGGTGAAAGTATGCATTCCTTTGAGTTAGCTTGAATATCAGGCACTAAGTTCATATTTTATATCTTCATTAATATAGTTGAAAGTTACCAGATCTATTTATTAAAACTCTTGAATAATTAATCATATTATACTTTACTATAAGTTTAGTAAATTTAATAATCTGGGAATATGCCTTGGTTTATACCATTTTTACCTTACAATTGAACTATATGTTTTGACTCTAGATTAAATTTAACAATATATAGTAAGCTTAAGTTAAAAACATATATTGTAAAATTGATGTTCTCTGCTCTCACCTTAAACTTGGACATTTGCCAGAGAGGGGCGGGCTCGACTGGATTCTGATACGTTCGCAGGAGTGAGGCTCTCGTCTCATAAACTTTACTAGGGTTTCTTTTTTGCTGAAAAAAGTTAATAAACATAATAAATTATTGCAAGTAAAAAATAAATGCCTTAAAATTAACTTCTCATTTCATTTTATTAAAAAGCTCTGTAAGAGAGTAATACAAAGTTGAAACATTTTGTTTTACTTTCAGATGTTCAACATTTTACATTTAAGAATTTTATAAATTAAGCATGTTTAGAAAAAATTATTTTGATACAAAAAAAGAAGAAAAAAGTTTTATGTATACAAATTTCAAAAGAGAGAAAAGGGGCAGGGAATCTATGATTACAAAGGAAAAGTTATAGAACTAACATGCTAATATTATGATTTCAGTAATATTAAAGAAGTCAAATGCGAAAAAAAGCTTTTATTATAAGTTTTGCTATCATAATTATACTATTATGTGTTTTTCTTTTCTACTACATGTAATTGTGGTTATCCCACAATTCTATACACATTCTATAAATTGCTATAGTTGATAGAGAATGAAACATCATTTCAAGCATGTTTCATAGCAAATTTACTAACACTTAAAACATTAATGTAAAAAATCAGATTTTTATTGAGTGAATTGATCAAAGCCAGATTTTTCATGCATCAGCATATCAGTTCAGAAGCTACAGTAATATCATGAAATGGAAACATCCTATGAAGCATACGTAACTATGTCCAAGGTAATTTCATGTCGAGGAATCAAGAAACATGATACAAGCCATTCACATACATGAAAAAGTATAGTATATAATTCTGCATTCAGTATGTACCTTCATTTCCCATAAGTGTTTCCTTTTCTGTTAGACAAAATATGTAGTTATACAATTCAGGTTAGTCTCTGATATTTAAGAAGTCTATGTATAGTTGTGTAATGGCTATAATTTTACATAGTTTGAAGGATAATCACACTGGATATTAATTCTGCACATTCAAACTTAAGCCACACAGTTGCATCAAAGTTCAGGGGGAAAATAACTAAGTTAGTACAAAGAAATTAGCTGTTAATAAACAAAGAAGTTACTTTTTTCTAGAAAAAAAATCTTAAAGGTCTCTGAGTTCATGAAAATTGTTTTTCTTTTTTAATTTTTCACTTTAAACATTTAATTGCTAACTTTTATTTTTAAGTGTTTATATTTTAATTAGATTGTTAAGAAGTTTTTGTTGAGTGTTCAAAATGTAACTAATATTTATAGGAGTAAATATATTATAATATACACAAGTGATAAAAATGATTTTTTTTACGTAAACTCAAAAAGCGAAGAAAGTGAAGTTCTACATCTTTTAGGGTAAAAAACCACCACACAATTTTGCTGCAATTTGCAACACTCACAACTGGGTATGGCCCCGCTGATTGTGATAGTCTGGGTTCAGGCATTATTGGATTCTAATGAGGAGAACCATTGTGTTTCAGTTTCAAATCAATTATAGTATCACTAAGTAAATATTGATATATTTATAGCATAATTCTTAAAGTTAATTTTACTTATATGTTTTTTTGTAAAAACAACATTATATTTTTAACACATTGTACTTAAAACATTTAAATAATGAAAACTGTAGAAATGTTTACCAGATCATGTGAGCTTTATTTTCAATTTGCAGTTTCTCAAAGTGCATATTACACATGTAAATATTTTACTCATGGCAAAATTACATTTTTATTTATGCTTCAATACCTGTGTTTCTTCTTTCCTTTTTGCCAATTCCTGTTGCCTTCTTTGCTGTAACCATTTATCCTGGTATTTGTGCTCTAATAAATCAAAAATTGGAGTAGATGGCCTACAAGACAAAAATATTTACCTTTATTCTGTACAAGTATTGAATTCAAGTCTGAAAACAGTTTTAAAATTTTTAACAAACTAGCTACCTTGTAGATATTCCGAACACCATTGTTGGTGGTATTCTTCTTGTCCTCAGCCTTGTGTTTTCTGACCCGGCTGTTTTTCGGCGGACATCATGAGTTGCTCTAAATTCATAATTTTCCCCAGCTGTGACTAGTCCATTTTGCACTGCAGCTTTATTGAGAGCCATAAAATCTCTTTCTGCTTTTTTGTCCTTTCTTGCAAATGGTAATGTAGTTGTGGAAAGGTTCCTTGGCCAACCATGCAAGGCTGTAAATATGTATCAAGTTAGTTACTCTTCCTATTGTATAGACAGGTTTTACTTTATGTACCAGTATCTGCTATAGACACAATTCACCAATCACCATGTGAATTTTACAGTACGACCCCACTGTTAAGGATTTGTTTAATTCATATTGTTGAGACATGCTCCTACTAAGACACTTGCAATTGGTTTACAATTATGTCTGTAAAGTGTAAGGCAAAACAAGTGAATTTTACTTCTATAGATTTACTGATATTGCTGATAGCATTGAAACCCATTCATGATTAAGAAAATATTTTTCTCAAAATCAGTGATAACATGGGAATATAATGAGCTTATTTATAACTAGTACTACATACAATATTTGAGATATTTATTTTGATGATTTAGAAAAGTTTTTAAAACTCACCATCATCTGCACCACCGTGTCTGGCTTCATTTGGGCGACCAAAAATAAAATCCTCCCCTAAAGTACCATATCCTCGTCTCTTTGGTTTCCCTAATTCAGTCTATAAAACAATACAAGATAGGTTTAAACTTATGATAATTACACGCGTATAATTAAACATTTATCAAAATCTACGGATTTATGTGTACACATAAATATGCATTTATGAATTATGACACCATACAAAATTTAGCTATAGGTACATGTAGGCAGCCTACACTCTTTAATATAACTGTTCTCATGCAGGACTACATACTAGTATATAGGTCCCTGCTGTTCCATAAAATTCAGGTACAGCATATATTATTTTTAAGAAATGTTGTTAAGTGAAAGACGTGGTAATTATTGCACAGCGACTTGGTATTTAATTGTTTAACTAAAATAAAAATGCTGTGGTATCCTTACTCTGAGGAGCAATTCGTTGTTTAACATTGTTTCGCGGTGAGCTCCAAGTTCTCCCGCTGCTGTACAGTGAAATGGATTCTGTCCAACGACTGCCATTTTCCCTTTTTCCTTTAAATGTCCTTATGTGTATTACTGACAGCTAAACAGTTGTTATGCGGAAGCCATGCAAGAAATCACCATAGAGACAATAAATAATCCGAGTTCCGCTTTACAGCGCTCCCTTGCGGATATAAACGATAACTCCTCTTGAATTTTTGTGACGCAAGGAAAGTGTCTGAGGTATTACGAATGATGGACATCAATCGGAATTCCTTGGATTTCATTATTATCATTTACGGTAAAAACAAGAAGATCCGATGGTCGAATTTCGCGTTGAAATATCAGAGGGAAATTTTGCTAAACAATGGGAAGAAGAAGAAAAGGACGCGAAGTGGTGACGAAGAAATGCACAGAATGTAACAAAGAGGTAGCACATTCATGTGTTAATGACATAAATTCTCATTATGTCAAGGTCGTCGATATTTATGATGTACTGATATGTCTCCAGACGATTCATAAGTTCATATCATGTGAATTACCCCTGGCCCTGTCTTGAATTCAATGGCAGAAAAAAAAAATATACCACGACACATTAATTATTTACATAATCATAATCTAAACACAAGCAAAGGAGTTTGTCACATTTACATACATGTATACATGCATATGCATGCAGGATGTTAACCACAACTATTCTGTAATTTAGGTGTTTATATAAATTATAATATAACCACAACTACACCAAATGCTGATTTCCCAAAAAACATATGATAAACTGACAAACTTTTCGAAAAGACTTGCTATTGAGTTAACTGCAGAACTGTAGCATTAGGGTTTTATATTTTAGTCTTTCGCCATGATATGCTACAGATCCCTTATTGGAAAAAAGTTGCAATCGGCACAAGATTTTCTGCACACTGTTAGGGAGAATTTCTCCACTTTCCAGCATTTAAGTCAACCATCTACCTTTCACTCCCAAGTTCAAGACTCATTTTAAATTCAACCTGTATAATTTATCGACCTCCCAACCCTTTATAGTCAGATAAACATATAAAATGTACGTGTTGGTTAAAATATGTGTCTAAACTTAGGGAGTGAAAGGTAGATGATTTCATGACTAATGCTGGAAAGTGGAGAAAGTCTCTCTTACAGTGTACAGAAAATCTTGCACCGTAAATTGCACCTTTTGTATTATGGGATCTGTAGCATTTAAATATGCATGGTCAAAGACTAATACATGTAATGTAAAACCATATTAAATGCCTACAGTTTTGCAGCTACCATTGAGTATGCAACTTTGCTTGATGTTTTAACCAGCTTAATTATTCAATTACTTCCAAAAAATACTAAATTTCTTCTATTTTTTTTTTTTTAAAAAGGCACCCATAGCAGTCAAGTTTTGTACCTGTGGACATGAGTTTATTTCTAGGCAGTCTCAATCCCCAACAGGTAAGATTAAATGATTTTGAGACAAATATCAATTAAAGGAAGACATATACAATAACGTCTTCAAAGTCTTGCCTAATGCTATACAAATGTGTTTATTCAAATCATGCATATTATATAAACAGAGAATGTATGTAATAAATCAGTATTTATAGTTGATACCTGGTAGTTCTTTATTGTTTTATTAAACCAGCAGGAGTATATACAGTGTATAGTGATGGGAATGTCCATCTGTCTGCACTTTTGTCAATTCATCTGTCCTGCATCTGTTGCACATCTATCCGCTACTCCTTCTATACCATGTACTTTAATGAGGCCTTATCAGAAACTTTATTACTCAGTACCATTTTCCTTTTTATTTCATACTTCATGAATCTGATTTTTATTAATAAGTATCTGTCTGTTCGTTATCTTCATATTTTTTTATTTCTTCTCCACACTCAAGTGATCAATTTTGAAGAAATTTGAACAAAGCATTCTTTGGAGATGTGGATTAAGATTGTTCAAACAAAGGGCCACTCCTTATTTCAAGGGAGATTCAAATGGGGGATCAAAGTGTACGTTATGTGTAAATACATAGAAAAAAATCTTAAATTTTTTTCTCAAGAACAACAAACAAAGCTTGGATTTGTCATACTGATATAGAAGCATATTCTGGTAGTAAATTATATTATAGATTTTAGTTTGTTCAAATCATGACCCCAAGGGGTATTTAGGTGGGGCAACAATATGTGATCAAAATTTTACTTGGGAATGAGCAGCAGCCATCATACTGACTGAGATGAGCATTTTGGTCCATCATCACTCACTCAGAATCTCTTGTGGATTCTGTCACTCCTTAAGTAGTAACACTGACTTAACAGTATTTTACATTTTAGGTAATGATTCACCTCAGGATAAAGTAAACGAAGCAGAGGAATCAAAGAGGGTTACCCAAAAACCAGACTATTTTGACTCAGAAATTGAAGAAATCTCATCAAAACGAGTAAGATTACTACAAATATACATGTGCTCATGCAGTATTCAATATATACACATATTGCATGTTCCTTTGAATACAATAATACAGGGTGCCTACTTTAAATACTGGTAGTGATTTTCTATTATAAAGCATTTCAATGAGTTCATTCTAGCTCAAAAGAAGAAAATACTGGTTATCAGTTTTCATAATGTGGTGTAGTTATTTGACGTCCAAGATAATCCGTACACAATTAAAGAAGTAGTAATTAATAATTTGATCCCCCCCTTTTTTTTATGGGCAGACTTATTTTTAGTACCCCTTTGTCACGTGCTTGTGACTTAATTTTCTCAGTCTGATTCTGTTATCTCAATGTAGAAGGGGATGATGGGAATGTAATGGCATGACAAGAGATTCTCTTACTTCTTTAAAAGTTATCCCTCCTGTTAATCATGATATGATTTTCGATGTTTCAACATAACAACTGTTTTGAGATTAAGATTTCTGTAAACCAACTATTGTGACATGACCTGCGAGTTTTCTTTTGAAGTCAACTGTAGAACAAGCAAATTCAAGGAATTGTGGTCCCCCGCTTTCGGTGTCTTTGTGAGTGAGATGTCATTTTTTATGACATATTGTGTGTAATATGAACACCCTATCATATGCAATTTATTTAGAAATCATCACTGAACTACAAGGTCAATTTCAAAGAGTTAAAGTTCTTGGTATCCAATGAAAAGTCTTCTCATAAGGATTACATATGTGAAGTATGAAAGCCCTAGCCCTTACCATTCAAAAGTTATAGTCAAGATTAAATTTTTTCACATGTACAAAAAATCTCCAAGGTCAAAAGGTCAAAGTTGTTGGTATCCAACGAAAGGTCTTGCCACAAAGAATACATACGTGAAATATAAAAGTCCTGGTATCTACCGTTTAAAAGTTGTGACCAAGGTTAAAGTTTTTAAAAAGTAGTTAAAGTCCAAGGTCAAAGGGTAAAAGTCCTTGATATCCAATGAAAGGTCTTCTCACATTAAATATGTTAAGTACGAAATCCTTAGCCCTTACCGTTCAAAAGTTATGGTCAAGGTTAAATTTTTTCATACTTACGTAAATATCCAAGGTCAAAAGGTCAAGGTCGTTGGATCCAATGAAAGGTCTTGCCACAAAGAATACATATGTGAAATATGAAAGTCCTAGTACCTACCATTCAAAAGTTATGGCCAAAGCAAAAGTTTGGAATTTTTGTGTAAAAGTGGGTCAAACTACAAGGTCATGGTCAAAAGACCAATTTGGTGGTACCCAAAAAAAGGTCTTGTCACAATGAATAAACAAGTGAAATATGAACGTCATACCTCCACTAAATCAAAAGTTATGGGCAAGGTAAAAGTTTTTGTGAGGGACAGACTGACGGACAGCTAGACGAATGAGATTAAATGTCCCCTCGCTTTCGCGAAAGCGGGGAACAATACAGAACACTTTTTTGTGGGCGTTTCTTATGCAAATGAGCAGAAACTGCTCAATAACTATGATACAGAATGCCTTCTTTTAATGACAACTGAAAGCTGTATCTGTATCTTGAATGTGATAGACATAAGAAAAAAAAGTGTTCTGTATTGTCCTCCGCTTTCGCGAAATTAATGATGACTGAAAGCTGTATCCGTATCTTAAATGTGATAGACACAGTATGTAGTATATGCATTTACTCAAAATTTGAGGTGAATTTACATGTAGGATAGAATTTTACAAGAGTGCTGCACTGAACAAAATTTGGAAATGATAGAGTGGGTAGTTCACAAATGATTTTCACCCCCTCCCCCCCCCCACCCAAAAAAAAAAGAAAAATCATATTCTGTGGGGGTAGATTCATAATCATATAGGACAGATGATACAAACTTTTGTCAAATAATTTGTATTAACTGTACTTGGGTTATGTTTTAATGAATAAAATGAATAAGTTTCACCGTGTAGTTTTTAAAATTCTAGTAAAATTTTTGCAAAATAGAATTTGAAGTGAAAAATATTTGTATAGATCAATAGGGATGGTTTCAGAGAGGTAGACTTTTGAACATCATAAAGGTTTACAATTTCTTTATACTCTAGAAATATATTATTTGCATCATTTTCAATGAAATTAGGCCACTGAGAGTTGCTGAGAGTTCTTGTTTTCATGTTCTTATCTGTCAGTCAAGATCATGCAAGGTTCCTGAGTAACATTATTATATATGCATATTATTTCGCGTTATATCGCGAAAGTTACGAGTTAATTCGCGAAAGTTACGCGTTATATCGCGAAAGTTTCGCGTTTATTCGCAAAAGTTACGCGTTATATCGCGAAAGTTACGCGTTATAACGCGAAAATTGTATTTTTTTAACCTACCAAAATGAGCTCAATGGGCTTTCGTACCCACATGTATCTTTAATATGTATCAAAATGTTCTGCACAGTATCCTCAGCTTAAATTAAAAAAAACATAGAAAGCAGATAAAAACAGAGGATCAAACCTACGCAATCAAATCTAAATTAAATTTCAGAAAAACAAATTATATGCACATGCATCACCGGTCATGATTAAAATTATTTAAATTGTTGATAGATACCTGCACCTTCATCTATCTCTGCATTTTAGTTGCCACTGATAAAAATGGGTACGAAATCAACTTTCTGCAAAATCATCTAATTGGCTGAGAAATATGTACCCAAATACTCATGTAAATTAGTGAGGTCATAAGAAAGGTCATGTCACAA